TATAGGACTTACACCGACTAGTTACGATCCTGAATTTGAATTCAGCCAAGATCTTCTGACTGCAAAACATGTCGATGACATTAATATGACAGGTCTAGAGAAAAATATCGACGACTATGTACAACGTGTCGAAAAGGTTTTTGGCACATGCAAGCTCAACAAGCACGCATATACGAACTGCGCCGTCCGCTACACTAAGAATGATCAGGGAGATGTGATCATGGACCAGGACGAGTATATCAAACAACTACGTCCTATCACACATCCAGAACTTACAGGAGCGGCGGCCGACGCCAAAGCCACGAAACTTTTTACCGACATGTTCGTCAGCCTGCGAGGAGCCCTCGCCTATGCCCTTCTTACTCAAATCTGGCTTATGGTATATGTGGTCTCTCTTCAGAAAATTCAAGAGCCCGCCAATTTACAAGTCAGACGTTTGAATGCTGTGACGCGAAAGCTGATCAGCAGTCCGAAACGTATCACCTTCCCTCGGATGAAGCCGACGAATGAAGTTGACATCCATAGCGATTCGGGGTATCGGAAGCTTACCGGGGAGGAGGATGACGAGACCAAGGGCTACGGCATACGCGGGGCCAAAGTACTACGGCGAGGAAACTCGCCTCAAGGCAAGTCCGTCGTTCACCTCTGTGACGGACTATGCAAATCACACCGATTACAGGTGAGGTCCAGTTATGCTGCGGAGGCACTTGCAGCCGCACTTAACCTTGATGAGTGTTACCCTACGCTCATTACTCTCCACGAGCTTAAGGCAGGGGCTTTGACTCCACGACAACTACGAGACATGCGTGAAGTTGGAGGCCTTGCTATCAAAGTCTCTCTTACCATAGACGCTGAGTCCGTATACAAATCTTTATCAAGCAGGGATCTCAAAATACCTACAGAACGGACTCTGCTTGGACATATCAGCTGGATACGTGAGCTCATGGATATAGGTATAGTACATAATGTGCAATGGTGTGATACTAGGGATATGACCGCAGATGGGCATACAAAGGGAATCATCGATCGGGAGCTGCTTCTGGAAGTGATGTCAGGCACTCAGTCATTTAAGTATGACGTGAAGCAATTTGTTCCCTTTTGGGGTCCCGAGGACAGAGACAAACCTAAGTCTAATCAATTTTAGTCTGTCCTTGTTGCCCTCGCGGTCCAGTTTGCCAGCACGGGCGCCTACTATAAAGGCGCCCCTTTAGCTGCTCGGAAACGAGCCTTATATTTCACGCCTGGCAGCGAGCCGGCTTTGTACAACTCAGGCTCTTTGCCTTAATACACATTTGCTTGGTGAGGTATGGCCTAATTTTGGCTTACCTCTAACTAAGCCGATAGCCCTTCATTGTTTGAAGGGGCTGTCCTGTATTTGCGTGAAATACTTTGCGAGGAAACTCGCCTTGCAGTCTGGTGTTTGACCAGACTGTGCGCACTGTTTTCTTTTCTTTGCAAACAGTCGTGCGCGCGATCTTTGCGTGCGACTATGCTCTCCGTCTCCTCCCCTCCCGACTTTAAGGGTAGCTCTTTGGGAGATGTTACAGTATCGGGAGCATAGTTCGCGCGCCGCTGCCTTGGGCTCAAGGCGCGCGCGCCCTATTTGCCCGGACACCGCGAGTGTTCGCTATGTGCTGGAAAGATCATTACATCGATTTTTTATGAATTTTATAATCTAATCCGGCACACCCTCTTTACTGACACTTCCAGCTTCTGCAGAGCGATGGACGCACTATTTGCCATCCGATGGGTACACGGTCAGCGCCTATGGAATCGGATAGGTGAATCTTAATATGGCATATATGCCCCCCTATGCCCGTACCAGGCTCCACTTTTTCGATGAGTGAGGTTGGAGGCAGCGGAGGAGAGGAGGAGGAGGGAGGAGAGGAGCGAGAGGAGGAGGAGGGAGGAGGTGGAGGAGGAGGAGGAGGAGGAGTTGTACCAGAGTGAAGGAGGAGTGGAGGGCGTCGGAGTCTGAGGGAGGAGGGAGGAGCAAGAGAGTAGGAGGGAGGAGGAGATAGGAGGAGGAGAGGAGGAGGATTGGAGGAGGGAGGAGAGTGTGGAGGAGGAGGAGGGAGGAGGAGGAGGAGGCTTGGGCTCTCCACAGGAGCGCCACGGCTTCCCCCGCGTCGCCGAGCCCGCGGTCCTCGCGCTGGGCGCCAGGCCCGCCGCCGCCGCCGGCCTCGCCGCACGTGCCGCAAAGCGCCCGCACGCCCAGGTTCGCCTCGTCGTCGTCGTCGTCGTCGTCGTCGTCGTCGTCGTCGTCGTCGTCGTCGTCGTCGTCGTCGTCGTCCGAAGGCCTTCGGACGGCCTTCGCCTCCACGCCGCGCCGCTCCAGCCTCCTCCTCCCCTCTCCTCCCTCAGGTTCCTGGGCCTGGATCCCTGGCGCAAACATCCCGGCCTTCGGAGGCCGCTGGAGGACTTTCGGAGGTCCTCCGGGGGCCTCTTGGGGGCCTCTGGGAGCCTCGTGGGCGGCTCCGGGCCCCCCATATGCGGCGGTCGTCGCCGCCACCGCCACCGCCGCCGCTGCCGCCGCCACCGCCGCCGTCGTCGTCGCCGCCGCCGCCGTCGTCGTCGTCGTCGTCGTGGCTGTCGTCGTCGTTGTCGTCGTCGTCGTCGTCGTCGTCGTCGTCGTCGTCGTCGTCGTCGTCGTCGTCGTCGACTGCCGCTTGTCCCTGGAAACAGCCGACGACGTGGCTCTGTTCAATCCGCGGGTCCCATGGGGTCTCGACCCCAGGGCCCATTTCGATCGGATGGATCCCATTCGATATCGGCTCCAGCCAGCCCGACTGGATTCCGATATTCGGGCGGTCCGATTCGGCCCGAAGCTTGCATGGTAGCGTTGTGCGTCCTGGCGCCTCCACTTAGGTTCGATTCCACCAATGTGCATGCGCGGCTCGATTCGACGCGCGTTCCGATCCAATCCGACTGCCCAATTCGATTTTCACTGCTCCTGCCCCTGTCCCAAGGAGGACCTCCTTGTGGCGGGTCAGTTTTGATGGCCCGGGGGCAGAAACTGCACTGGATGCCGAAATTGAAGCGCCCCATCAGAGCCAAACTCGGTGGCGGCAAGCATGCCCATATCCTCGGCCGCGCCCACACGCGGGCGGCCAAGCGAGGGCGCCTCGCGCGGAACGTAAGGTGCCGCGCGCTCGTGGGACCGCGCCTCGGTGTCCAGACCGCGCGATGAACGTGCTCGCGGTCGTCGGTCCTGAGCCCCCAGGCTGCCGACGTGACAACCGACCCGCATAGCAAGGATGGACATCCTTCATAAGGTATTGTGGCATCCCTGCCCCTTCGGCCCATCCTTGGCCACCTTCGCTGGCCGCGCCCCGCACGAAAAGCTTCGACATTTTCCCACCCAAGGCCCTGGCATCCTTTTTCGTGGGTCCTTCTGATACGGGTCGGTTGCATTTTTTTCACGACGTGGCCCCTGGGTGTGTAGACCATTTCCCTGGGACGAGCTTTTCCTCCCAGGCCGTTTCCGACGACCCCTTGAGGGCCCGGCAAGGGGGCCGTCACGTGGCCGGGCACGGTGAAGAGCGCACGGTCGTCGTGATTCGCTTCCTGGCGCGAGGAGGCCCGGGTATGTTTGGTTGCGCGTCCCGCCGGGAACCCGCGTGGGGACGTCCGGGTCGTTTTCCCCAAGTCCGTTCGGCCCTTGCGTAAGAGTTGCCGTACATGTTTTTTGTTTCTCCTCCTCCTCCTCCTCCTCCCTCCTCCCGTTCGGCCCCTGCGTAAGAATTGCCGTATATGTTTTTTGTTTTTCTTCCTCCTCCTCCTCCTCCTCCTCCTCCTTCTCTTTCTCCTCCTCCTCCTCCTCCCCCTCCTTCTCCTCAACCTCCTCTTCCTCCTCCTCTTCCACCTCGCTTCCTCATCGCCCGCTGCCACGCTTAGCACGCCCCTTGTTTCACCCACCCCGTGATCCGACGCTGCCACAGAACATACAACATCGCAAAGAATCGCGACTGGAACCCCAGACCCCATGTTTCTACGCCATGTTTCGATTCGGGCCGCTTCGCGGGGGGGTCCCCAGGGCCCGAAGCTGGGCGAAAGCGCCCGGTCCGAGAGCAAATGGTAGTACAGCGTGGGCGAAAAAGGGGCAGCGCCTGGACCTGAGAGCCATCGTGTCCGTTCCACCCCATTGGCCGACCCAGATCTGCGACGTCCGGATTTTGTCCGGGCGGCGCCCCCAGGAGTCCCGGCCCGCTCCCCCTCCCAGGACCAGCGTCTCGCCCCGAGCCGTTTCCTGACGGGATCCCGGGGCCCGGCGAGGGCCCCCAGGGGGCCGAAAAAAGGACGAACAGTCCTGCCGTCGCCCTGGACTTGTTCTGTTGTTGTTATTGTTGTTGTTGTTGCTGCTGCTGCTGCTGTTATTGTTGTTGTTGTTGAACATTATTTATTCTAAAGAATAATTATTGTTGGGACCCCTGGTGCGCGGCCCCCTCGCCGCGCCTAGGCCGCAGCCACATTTTCATCATTTTCGTGAGGAAGTCATGTCAGGTCACAAAGGTGGGTCAGCTCCGGAATCCGGTTGTTTTTGTTGTCCCCGTTTTTCCTTGCAAAAAAATAAGCGTCCCTTTTTTTTTTTATTATTTTATTATTTATAAAGTGGACATTTCTTGTTCTAACATAACCAAACTTCAAGAATCCTTGCAAAAAATAAGGTAAAGTGGACATTCGCGCGCGCAAGACGAAATCCTTCCAAAACCTTAGTTTTCGTAGCGATTTTAACATAAAAACATCAAAAAACCAATTGTTTTTTTCAAAAAAAAAAAGTGTCAAAATTTCATCCCGCGCGCTCTTGCGGATTCGTAGGAAACCCAACACTTTTTAAACATTTCTGTCACATGGGCTTTTGACACGCAGCCACAGGTGTTCAACGTGCTCATTTCTCTTCGAACAGACGATATTCACTCACAACGTTGCGCACCTACCAGGGTATCATCCCTGTCTAACATAATTACCATGCGGGGACCCACATTCGGTTCTTTCTTTCGCGCGCACGGCTGACACACGTACTCCACACACACATACCCACATTGGGTTTCCGTACAGGGAATTTTAGCCACCAGCACGCCCACATCATAAAAATCATAAGAATCACACGCACACGCGCCACCGACTTCTCTCTGGGCACCACCTCAACACCCCACCTATAGCATGTCCGTCGGCATGTTACCACAACAAGTCCGTGTGTCACCACGTCATCGAACAAAATCACTGATCACTGTCACATCCGTAGCCATCTCGGATCAAGGTTTCGCCTGTGTTCTTGGATGGGTCATGGCTTTGTCGGCGAAAGCCCTTGACGAGCAGTATGGCCCAGAGCTGTCGCGGCCTCCTTTGGCCGACTGCGGCAGCCCGTATTATTTGCATCAGGCGTTCGTTGCAAAGGGTATCCAGGTCAGTCACCAGGCGTGCAAGCTTTGGTGGTGCAAGTATCGGGTTGTGCCTGGCACGGTCAGTATTTCTAGCGCCAAGGAGCTGGAGGAGCAGCACGGCTCTGCCATCCGCCACCTGGGCATCGAGTATAATACAGCTTTCAAATTATGCGGGGCGCTCCCCGCTCATCCACAGTCGGAAATCCACCAATCTGTTGATGTGTGCAGAAAGGTTTTCGCAACGACCGTGGTATGCAGTTCATTGTTGTACAAAGAGAACGCTGTCGTCTGCAAAAGGCCAGAACGATCGGCAATCTGGAGAACTGGTATGGCACTGAATCGTCATGATAGACGCACACACCAGACATGCCCGAGGGGATACTGACGGCAGACAACGGAATACAAGCTCTGTCGGTCCGCTCCCATGCTGGCGACTGACACGCACTGACAAACGACAATCTATTGACAATCCACCTGGTTGCGGGACAGAAACGGACAAACGGTCGGAAAACGGTACAGGTGTTCTGCCACAGTGTTGGCACACCACAACGCTCGGGGAGAAGGCCGTCAGCTTGCATACTAAGCTAGCTTCCACAAAATGTTACCACAACAAGTCATTGTACCCATGCGCCAGTGTAGTAGCCAAGGTCGTCCGCAGGCCACGAAGTGAAGTGTCCGAACGTCATGGGGCGGGAAGCTGGGTGTGGGTGGTGGCGAAGAGTCGTCCTAAACTTGGTAGAGCTTGAACCGGCCCCCCCACAAAGTGGGGGTATTGCCCGCCTCCTATGAAAACCCTGGCACTGGTGAGAACGGAGTGTCCCCAGTCTTAAATGATTGTTGTTGTTGTTGTTGTTGTTGATGTTGGTGTTGGTGTTGTTGTTGTTGATGATGATGATGTTGTTGTTGTTGTTGGTGTTGTTGCTGCTGATGATAATGTTGTTGGTGTTGCTGTTGTTGTTGTTGCTGATGATGTTGTTGTTGTGGTTGTTGTTGCTGCTGCTGCTGTTGTTGTTGTTGTGGTTGTTGATGTTGTTGTTGCTGCTGTTGTTGTTGTTGCTGCTGCTGTTGATGGTGCTGTTGTTGTTGTTGTTGTTGTTGTTGTTGTTGGTGGTGTTGTTGCTGCTGTTTTTTGTTTTACGGCGCGAGCGTGTCTGGGAACGCGCCTCTGACGTTCGCGGCTTCCTGCTGCCCGCCCTGCCCGCCCCGCAGAGGCTCGACAGCCCGGCGGCCCGCCGGGCCCGCGCGGCCGCCTCGCGCTTGCGCGCGTCGGCGGCCGTGGGCCTCCGCTCGTGGAGCACGCGGCACCGCCGGCGGCTCCGGGCGGAGGCGCCCCCGGGCAGCATGCCGGAGGTCAATTAACGGGCGAATAGCGGTATAGAATAAACTTTTTCGCCGTCGGGGACACCTGCCCCAGAGCGGCTGAAAAGTTTATACCCTTACGGTGCCACCGTAAGGGTATAAACTTCCCAGCCGCCCAGGGACAAGCGCCCACGACAGCGAAAAAGTTTCTTTTATACGTTCTTCGCCCCTTAAGTCAAGCAATGGCGAAGCGTCCTGGCTCGCCTGTAGCCCTACCGAACAATGCTCTGAAGAGCCTTCTGTGGTCTCCACGAGATGCTCTGAGAACATTTCTGGCGGCTCCGGGCGGAGGCGCCCCCGGGCAGCACGCCGCGAGGTCAAGCAGTGGCGAAGCGTCCTGGCTCGCCTGTAGCCCTACCGAACAATGCTCTGAAGAACCTTCTGTGGTCTCCACGAGATGCTCTGAGAACATGTCTGGCGGCTCCGGGCGGAGGCGCCCCTGGGCAGCACGCTGCAGTGGGCACGAACGGACCCGGTACGGAAAGAGTGGGCACATACAATGCTCAACAGCAGTTCCCGTTCATTTTGAACAGGACGCGCTGTCGGTGTCGCCGCGGCCAGTGTCCATTTGGGACAGAAGGGCGCCTGCCCAACAGTGGCCGCTGTTGGTTTGGGGCAACATACGTTGTTGGGCATTGTACCCATTCTCTCCGTGCCCACTTCGGGCGTCCAAACGCAGGTCAAGCAGTGGCGAAGCGTCCTGGCTCGCCTGTAGCACTACCACACAATGTTCGAAGAACCTTTTGTGGCTTCCACGAACTGTTCTTAGGACGTTTCTGGCGGAGTCTGTCTTGTTCTATCACATCGGGCTGATGTTCTAAGTCTGAGAACATGTTTGGGTTTATGATAACATTTCGTGGTAGGACTATATGAATGCCGGGACGGTCGGCCCCTGCTCCAGAGGCGCCCCCGAGCAGCACGCCGGAGGAGTGCGAGGAGCCCGGCCGCCGCAAGGCTCGAGCAGTGGCGAGGCGTCGTGCAATCGCCTACCCGGACACGATCGCGTTGTTAAAAATCAGGACGGGCGGTTTTTCTTTGTGTTCGGCCCTTGGGGTGGGGGCCCTCGCCGGGCCCCGGAAGTGTCACAAAACGCTTCGGGATGAAACACCGGCCCCGGTGGAAATGATCTGGACGTCCAGGGACGCCGTCTTGGAAAAATCAGGACGTCGGGGGTCTGGGTTTAGTTCGGTAGCAAATCATGGCGTGCCCTCGCAACTCTGTCTTTAGCGTCGGTTTGCGTCGATTGGCGCCTGGGAGTCGATGAGATAGCGCCGACTAGCGTCGGATAGCGTTTAATTATTTACGTCCGTTTGGCATCGACTAGCGTCGATTCGCAAGAGCCGACACAATGGTACGGGAGGCTCCCATGGCCCATAAGTTGCCACCGAACTATAGGCCCGCCCAAGAATGCGATACGAACCTTTTTGTGATTGACGCGACATGTTCTCAGAACCTTCATGGTTGGTGCCGTATTGTTTTAGTATACCGGCGCTACGTTCCAAGAGAATTGTTTCTGTGTTCCGAGCTCTTCCTTTTGTGTAGGAAGGTTTTGTGGTAGGCCTATGGGAATGCCAGGACGGTCGGTCCCTGCTCGAGACACCAGTGGCCCTCAGAGCAGGGCGTTCCCATTTCTCCACCGCGGGCGTCCTCGCCAGCTGCTAGGCCCCGGGGCCCTCGCAGATCGGTCCGGCTCGAGTGTTTGGGGTCCTCCTCGTGCCGCGTCGCAGATCACGGCGGGGTGAGGGCGGCGAGAGGTCGGCGGACGCGGGCGGCGGAAGCAGAGGCGTGGCGTCAGTTTGTCGGATGCGGGCTTCTGGGTCCGCCATATGGGGTCGGAGCATGCTTGGTCGAAGGATCGCGGCTCCGATGTGGAGTCTGGGGCCCAGTTCTCTCCATCCCGACGCCGCCGATGCGTCGCTGATGCATCAGCGTTGCGTCGCGACCTCTGACCCTCACTTGCTCGGGCTCTATTGGAGCGACCCAGAGCAACGGAGTCGTTTTCACGGACAGGTGCGCGCCGGTTTCTCGCGTGAGGCTGCGCGTGAACGCCCTCGTTTGCAGTGTGGTTTGCCGCGTTGGCGCTTGCGGATGCCACCGCGTAAGTTTGCTATGCCATCTTGCGTGAAACCCGATGTTTCTCCAGGGTTGTGTTTGGCCTTTGAGCCCATTCCCTTTCCTCCGTTTGAGCTCTTCTAGAAACCTTCTGGGGTCGTTTTGGCCCTTCTTTGACGCCTCTTGGGCCGTCTTTGGGGTCTCTCGGGGCCTCTTGTGCCGTCTTGGGGCGCTCGACTCTTGAGGCAGTCCTGGGCCGTCTTGGGGCGACACCGCGGGCCTCTTGGGCCGTCTTGTGTCATCTACAGCTCGCAAGAACGAGAGCGTTGAAGTCTTAATACGCTCTTGTTGGCGGCCACCAGAGGAGTTCGACGAGATGGACGTGGTCGGCGGCAACGGCCGGTGGAGGCAGCGGAGAGCGCTGTCGGAGAGGCGCAGGTGGGAGGTCGAGGAGCAGCTCCGGGCCGGCAGGGACGCGCAGCGCGCGCTGGAGCGGCGCAGCGTGCGGGCGGAGAAGGAGCAGCTGTGGCGCGCGCAGCAGGAGCTCTGGTCGCGGAGCTTGCCTTGTGGCAGCGATCCCAGAGGGCCTGCACGCTTGGAAGCCACGGTAAGTGAGCAACACCGCGGTCACTTCGCGACCGCCGAGAAAGCATGCCTCGCGGGGAGGAGGGGCGAGGAGGGCCTTACTTGCTGCCGCCGCCTCGCGTGCTTGCGCTCCCGCTGCTGGTGCCAGCGCGCCTGCGGCCTGAGCGAGGCCGCGGGGGCCAGGTCCTCCTCCTCCTCCTCCTCCTCCTCCTCGCTCCTCCTCCTCCTCTTCCTCCTCCTCCTCCTCCTCCCTCCTCCTCTCCTCCTCTCCTCTCCTCTCCTCCTCCTCCTCCTCCTCCTCCTCCTCCTCCCCCTCCTCTCCTCCTCCTCCTCCTCCTCCTCCTCCTCCTCCTCCTCCTCCTCCTGGTGACGGGAAGACTGACATCGGGGGGCTGCGGGCGAGAAGCTCTTGGGCGCCGAGCAGAGCTTCGCTCGATGCCCACCGAGCTGCGGCTGCCGGGGTCGGCGTACCGGGGGGCAGCGCGCCGGCTCGGGCAGCATCTGGGGCCCCGTAGGGGGACCCCTCGTGTTTCAGGAGGAAAAGAAACACACAGACACAAGCAATCCTCGATTCCCCAGCAAGTATGAGAAAATATGAGAAGCGGGCGGGAAGACACAAACCCAGAAAATATATGAGAAAATATGGGGATTCTGTTTATTTGTGTGTATTGATTTGTGTGTCCCAGGGCCCCTTCAGTGTTGCCCGTAATCGCCTCCGCGGAACAACGCCGAGGTCGAGAACGCATGCCCGCGCGCCAATCTGCAGCAGGGTTTGGCCATGCTCGACGCGACAAGCCCCAGGAGGCACGCGGGAGGCGCCAAGGGATTGGGCGAATTCCTATGGGACCCGGGCCCTTACACGAATGGCCAGGATTGAGGACTGATGCTCAGGGGATCGAGGAAGGGACCCGGGGACATCCCATTCCGTGCCATAGGGACTCGGTGGCAGTTCCATATTCATGTTCGCATACGCATGCACATATACACATGTAACTTTATGTGCATTTCAGATACATTCGGAGAGACGGTCATGTTCAGTGATATCCGCACCAAGTCGAGTTCCAGACCCCTTCTGGGGGTCCTCCCGGGCCACCCCCTCACCCAGGACCGATCTCTGATTGTCCTGGTCCCCCGAGGCGCAACAAAGGACAAAACAAATGCCATGCCAGATTTGTTGTTCCTCCGACATTTGTCGCGTCCTCTCGAGGATCGGCGGGGTTGACATAGACATTCTTCGGCGGGAGACGGCTGCGTTAAACCGAGGCCTCCGACGGCGGATGCCAGCGGAAGGCAGGCGGGGACGCGTGAGTGCGGAGTCGTGGTGCAGCTCCGCCCTCTGGCTCTCGTGCTCCTGTCTTGGGCCCTTCCGTTTGAGGTATACCACTTTATATGCGTTGGTTTCGGTCGGTTTTGGTTGAGGCCCCACACGAAGTGTCCTGATTGAGGGCTATTCGGCGCAATGCGATGAGAACAAAACAAAGGAAGGCAGGCGGATGGCGGCGGAAGTAACAGCGAAGCGTCAACATTGGATTCAGAGGTTTCTTGGGTCGGCCGCCTTTCGCCGAGGTGGCCTCGGGAGAGCGCCGAGACAACCGCGGATCGCGCGTCGCGGGGCGCGATGCGCGAACTTTCGTAACCTAGGGCATCCCATGTATGGTTAGGCGGGAGCTTCCCGAAAGTGTGGGGACGCGCAGAGGTGCCCTCTTCTGCACGCGAGGTGCTTCGCTGGCGGCCCTCGCACAGGTCGCGGCGTACGGTCGTTAAGTATGTCTTCTCGCGTGAGGCCCCTTACCCCTCGTCTCTCAGGTGTGCGTGTCTAGGCCTCCTAGATAGGGGTCCGAGCAGATGGGGTCGCAGGATCGCGCCGCATCGCCGATGCACCATCGACGCGGATCCATCTTTGCTAGGCGTGGCCAATGACTCCCCGACGCCGATGGTGCATCGCGAATGCATCGCCAAGGCGGCGCAATTTTAGGACCCTACTCACTCGGACACCATTCGGGAGGTCGTTTGGAAGAGGAGAAGGACGAGGACGAGGACGAGGAGGAAGAGGAAGATGAGAGAAAGGAAAACCACTGCAAACCCAAGATCCATCAAGGATATTGCAATACATCCTCCTTCCAAGTTCCCTTATAGATATAGCCCTACACAAATATATTTCCATTGCGGGACATGCTCATTGGGAGACAACCGTCTGACAATCCCGAGGAGGAGGACGAGAGGAGGAGGACGAACATCGGAGGAGCATAGGAGGAGGAGGAGGAGGAGGAGGAGGAGGAGGAGGAAGAAGAAGAGGAGGCGGAAGGAGGAGGAGGAGGAGGCGGAGGGAGGAGGAGGAGGAGGCGGAGGGAGGAGGAGGATGAATACTCGTTCGCCGTCAGCTCGTCAGCCACTCTAGAGGGAAAGGAGAGAGGAGCAATAGGAGGAAGAGAAGGATGCTGAGGAGAAGGAGGAGGAGGAGGAGGAGGAGGAGGAGGAGGAGGAGGAGGAGGGGGAGGAGGAAAGAGAGAACGGAGAGAGGGATGGGTGTGGGGAGAAGGACGATCGGAGGAGGAGGGGGGGGGAGTAGGAGGATGGAGGGGGAGGAGGACGAGACAGGAGGAGGAGGAGCAGGCGCAGGAGAGCCCGAGGGGCACGACGCAACCTCCACGCGCCCGCCGGCCCCCCCCCCCCTCCCGACACGAGGACGAGGAGCGCCGCAGCGCCGAGGCGGCCGAGCGCCGCCGGCGGGAGCTGGAGGAGCAGGCGCACCGCCGGCGGGCGCGCGACGCGGAGGAGGCGAAGCGGCGCGAGGAGCAGGAGCTCTCGGACGCGGCGGCGACGACGCCGCAGCCCGACGACGACGACGACGACGACGACGTCGACGACCACGACCACGACCACGACGACGACGACGACCACGACCACGACCACCACCACCACCACCACCACCACCACCACCACCACCACCACCACCACGAGGCGGGCTTCTCCACATTCGCTTTCGAGCCTCGCTGGCTGCCGAGTGCCCCCGACGCACCCCCCTGCCCACTCTTACCCGCACTTGTGGGGTTGTGGTGCGTCCCCGAGGCTCCAGCGCGGACCCTTGTGTCGATGCTGGCCCCCGCCCCTTTGCGCGCGAAGCTAGGGAGCTTCGCTGGAAGGGCGCCGCCGCCAGACCCGTCGGAGTTCGAAGGATTTGGCTTCTTGGATGGGTGCTCGCCCATGTTGGGCCTTTGGGAGTGCTCCTGTGCGCAACGGCTGGGTCTGACTGGAACTTCGAGTCACAGCGCACCCAAGGAGAGATCTGGTAGTTTGCGGATGGCCTTCGAACCTTGACCTCGCGGCGTGAGGGACAATTTATGGCGGCGCGCACAAGGGAGTAGGGAAGGGGCAAGCCTTCTCAGATACACCTTGCTTCTTGGACGGCGCGGGCCTTATCAGATGTAGGGCCCGCGCCTCCTAACAAGCAGCCTCCTTCGAAGAAGCCTCCCCCCCCTGACCCCTTGTGGGCGCCGCCCAGAGGGACAAAACACCTCTTCGAAGGTTTCAGCAGCTGGGGGGACATGTGGAGGCCCTCGGCCCCCCCCTCCCTGCCCCAGCCATTGGACCGTCAAAGAGCAGTGCGATATGTGGAGAAAATTGGCCCCGGCCGCGGGGCGTCCGCGCCGTGGTAGGCAGAGGCCGATACGTCGAGGGTCTGCGGTCCGCAGGGGGCACCCATGCACCGCCATGCCTGGCCAGGCCCACCTTCGGCCCAGGATGCTGCGCAAACCATGCCGGGGCCCAGGGGAGGCGCTGGGCAAGCAGGGTGGCGGGATGCCTGCTGCGTAAGACCAGTCCGATGTACGCTTCCGCGCTACAGTGAGCGGCTTGAATAAGGAACACTTGCGTTTCAAAAGGGGCTCGGTCGTTCCTTAGATTTTACATGCGTTATTTGCAGTTTGTTTTGCGTTATCTATTATTTATCGCTCCTTATGCGTTATTCCTTGGGATAAAAAGGGGCTTCGTTCCTTATTTATCGTTCCTTAGGTCAACGCCCCGACGGTGCTTGGCACGCGCGACAGCGCGAGCGTGCACCGAGCTGGTCTGCTGCACGGGCTGCGCTGCCGCCCACCAGGAGCGGGAGGAGCGGCAGAGGTCGATCCCGCTCCCGTGCCAGGCCTGCGCCTGCTCGGGCGAGTGCCGGGACTGCCGTCGGAGAAAGCCCGCAGGGGCGCGGAGGAGGAGGAGGAGGAGGAGGAGGAGGAGGAGGAGGAGGAGGAGGAGGAGGAGGAGGAGGAGGAGGAGGAGGAGGAGGAGGAGGAGGAGGAGGAGGAGGATGAGGAGGGGAGGAGGAGGAGGAGGAGGAGGGAGGAGGAGGAGGAGGAGGAGGAGGGAGGAGGAGGGAGGGAGGGAGGGAGGGAGGGAGGGAGGGAGGGAGGGAGGGAAGGGAGGGAGGGAGGGAGGAGGGCGGGAGGGGGAGGGGGGAGGGAGGGAGGGAGGGAGGGAGGGAGGGAGGGAGGGAGGGAGGGAGGGGGAGGGAGGGAGGGAGGGAGGGAGGGAGGGAGGGAGGAGGAGGAGGAGGAGGAGGAGGACTTCGTCTTCGCCCATTGTTTCGGTCCTCGGGGAGGCAAGGGAGGGGGGGCGGCGCTCCTTGCCGTCACGGCCAGACCCGCCTCGGGAGATCCTGTTGTTTGCAGAAGGCGCCCATCGTGGAGGTCCGCGGCGCGGCGGTGTCGATGGATTCCAGGGCCCTCGGCAGCGCGTTTTTGTCCGCCGCAGCGTGGGGCAAGTCTTCGGCGGCGAGCAGAGGAGGGGGTGGAAGTGAGAATCTCAGAAGCAGAGGACACCCGAAGCACGAGTATGTACCAAGTCGGCGGCGAGCGATGGGGGGAAATGATAAGGAGGAGTCCTTCTCAGAAGGCGGCGGGGCCTCTCAGAAGCCCTGCCCTCGCGCCTTTTGAGAAGTCTGTTGTGTCTTCGGGGAGGGCTTAGAACACTTCTCACAATGCCAGGGGGCTTCGGAGCCTTCTGAGAAGGCCCGCCCCTTCTCACTTCCCCCCCGCGCTCGCCGCCAAAGTCTGGACCCGGAGATCGGTAGCCCCAGACCCCAGAAGGTCTGGACCCCTTCCCCTGGACAGCTTCTTCAGCCTGGACGGCAGGTTTGTCGAGGGTCCCGGGGCCCAGAAAGCGAGCCCGGGGAGGCAGGAGGCTGCCACAGCTCGTCCGCCGTGATCTGCCTCCCGACGCGAGGGGGGGCGCGAGCCGATGTGGCCTCGCTCCTCTCCAGGACTGCCACGGCAGGGGCCGCTACCTCAGCCTGTTCCTGGTGAGCGCCCTGGGGCACCGCAGCACCGAGCTGGAGTTCGGGCAGAAGTGGCAGGGCTGCGCCGCCTGCGGCGGCCACGACCCCGGGCTGCTCGGCGAGATGATCAGGCGGGGCACCCCGGCGGCCGCACGCCGCCACCGACCCTGGCCGCACGCCGCACCGATGGCGCAAAACGCTCTTCGAAGGCCAAGGCTCCCGAGAGCCGAGAGGGTCACGCAGCGCGCTCCGAATGCCAAGGCCCCAAAAGAGCGAAGGGCGACGCAACACGCTTTTTTAGATCGAGGCTTCCGAGAGTCCACAGCGGCGTGTGAAGCAGCTCGTAACACCGAGGCTTCCCCAAAGCGAGCAGTCACGTGTCGAGTTCTGAACGCCAAGGCCCCCCAAGAGCGGCCATCTCGTGCACTTTTCTGTTGCGCTCCGCACTTTTCTGATGCGCTCCTTCCGTTGCCGTGCAGGCCCAGGTTCTAGCACGCCCGCACTCTGCGCGCACGGTGGCGGATGCACACCATGGCGAATACAGTCTTAGGCGCTGCCACAAGGACCACTTTGGGATCCGGGGCGGCTCTTGTTCCCCACGGGGTTGCTAAATTTCAAGAACAGGCCCCCCAGCCGACCCCACCCTGCACACCGCGGCCGCAGACCTCCAAGTTGTCTCAGTGGTCACGAGTAGCCCGTCCCGCGCCTGGCCAACCCCACCTTGCATACCTCGGCCGCCAGTCCCCAAGTTGTCTCAGTGGTCCCGAGTAGCCCTTCTCGCGGCCGCCAGACCCCGAATTGTCCCGATGATCCCCGAGAGTCCCGGGTGTCTTAGCTCGCGCCCTCGACGAACACGACAGAACGCAGCATGACAGAACAGAACATGACATAACGGAACAGAGCATGCCATAACATGGAATACCATAACATATCAATAACATGACAAAGTAGAGCATTACATAACATGCCATAACATACCATAGCAGAGCATGGCATAACATACTAGTATATAGACCAGCATCTGTAGCATACACTAATTCAGCATAACATGCCACGCATTAACATAATATGTGCCATGTCCAAATCGGCCATAACAGGGCACCATATAATACACCATGGCACATCATGACATAACTTGATACAATATAGCATGACATAACTGAGCATACTTGAAACACCTTAACCGAACATGTCGCACCATGGTGCAGCATCGCAGAACACATAATAGCACGGCCAGCAGAGCATAGCAACGACGAACAGGACACACCGCCAGATGACACACCATAACATGACATACTGAAACACGATCATGGCAGAACATGACATAGCATAAGATAGCAATGTCATGCAAATTATGACATAGCATATCATCGCATAACATACCTGAGCAGAACCACACACACCATACGACGACATAACACAACATAACACAACATAACGTCATATACCATATCTGCGCATACCATAACGCACCTTGACATACCATTTCAAATCATGACAGCATCATATAACATATCTTCACACGACAGCATAGGATAGCGACACATGCTATCAGAGCGCATCATCACAGGATTTGCAGAGCCGAGCCGTCAACAAACATAGCATCACAGAGCATAATGACGCAGAACTTGCCAGAACAGAAGACGACCGATCACAGCATACCAGCACATAGCCAAACATAACATGACACACGTTGGCATACAAGATCACATCATGACACATCATCACGGGGAGGATCATAGCACGACCGCAGAGCATAGCGACGACGAACACGACAGAACTCAGCATGACACAGCACACACTTACATAGCATAACACGAGCATGACATAACATTACAGAACATAACATAGCAATGTCATGACAACATATGGAGGGCCATAACACCACATTACGTACCATAACAGACCATGACAGCGCATACTACTACATAACATATCACGACACAGCATCAGCGATCACATCATAACACTACAGCAGAGCATAGCGCTGCATATTAGCAGGGCAGGTGATCATATATTATACAGGGCCGAGCCGTCAACAAACATAACATCACAGAAAAGAGCAGAGCAGACCATGACACAACACACTACGACCTACCACAACACACCATAACATAACTGAGCATACCACGACAGACCATGACATAACTTATCAGACCATGGTGCGATCGCATTACGGAGCACATCATACTACGACAGCACAGCATAGCCAGATATATTAGCATACCATATCATGATACAATGCTTTGAGCCGAGCTTCCAGCAACATTACAGACCATATCATACTATAGCATACGCTGACATACTGTACCATAGCGAATCACAGTGCCACAGAGCAGACCATGTCATAACATCTCATAGCATTTGGTGACAGAGATGAGCATAACATAAGCTACTCAATCAGAAGAGAAACATGCAAGTGACAAGGAACATCAGAACAGACGACGTGGCTATCGCCACCAGCGTCACGACGTCACGCTGGCTCGCCGAGAACATAATAGGACACAATGGAGCAGTGCATTTGAGAGCGTGACCACGTGGAACTCGGTTGAGTCGTTCTGGAATCCAGGCTGCCGACCACTTAGTCGACCGCGCGCCGTCGGGAACAAGCGCTTCAGGTTTCGGTGGGGATCGCTTGAAGCAACATCATTTCAGAGCCGTGCCTTCGAGCCATGTGGGCAAACTTGTTCGCGGCCGAGGTTCGCCGTGGCCAGAGGAGCCCCCGCGTCCGTGGCGCGAGGACTGTGCAGTGGAGGCCCATGCCAAGAAACACCCTGCTTGCCTCCAGGGTGCCCTGGGTTTCCTGTCTTTCGATGGTTTTGCCATGGAGAGCGTGACGTTCCCACGCCAAACATCGATGCACGTCCTGGGGTCTCAGGGTTCGGTTTCTTGTGGGTCTCCTGTGGTCGGGCCCCCCCTGTAATGGAGGATGACGATTAATAAATGACCGGGTGTTCACGCGGCGGCGCCCGGGATGACGATTAGAAACAACCGACCGCGGGCTGGAAAACTATTTTTTAATCGTTCTCCTCCAGTCAGAAACTTGTGCAGAAACAGCTGAAAACTATTTTTTTAATCGTTCCCTCCCACTCTTTTATTAATCGTCATCCCGCAGTACACCACGGCGGGAAGCACCAGTCCGGGGTCCCGAGACGGCCCTGACCAGGGCGGAGACGCCCCCAGGGACTCCAGCGCCGTTCTCTCTCTCGCGACGTGGGCCTCCAGGGGTCTGGACCCCCTCCCCGTGACCGGATGCTCATCGTCCTCCTCCTTCTCCTTGTCCTCCTCCTTCTCCTCCTCCTCCTCCTCCTCCTCTTCCTCCTCCTCCCCCTCCTCCTTCTCCTCCTTTTCCTCCTCCTCCTCTTCCTCCTCCTCCCCCTCCTGCTCCTGCTCCTCCTCTTCCTCCTCCTCCCCCTCCTGCTCCTGCTCCTGCTCCTCCTCCTCCTCCTCCTCCTCCTCCTCCTCCTCCTCCTCCTCCTCCTCCAGGGCCGGGCGCCCACGGGCCTGACCCCCCCCAGGGTCTCTCTTTGACTGCACCGGGGCCCATGAAGGGCCCCGCGAGGCGGGACATTGCAGCACAACCTAGATACAAAGTTGCTTGTGCTTTGTCACGACACCAGGGCGACATGGACCTCTGGAGGCCTGGACCCCTTCCCAGGGACTGCATTCCCATCCCTGGCAGTTTTCGCTGACGGTCCTACAACCCGGCAAGGCCCCCAGAGGCCGAAGGAGCCTGTTGTTTTCAAGACTCCAGCAATTTTACTTGCATGGACGGAGGTGGGGGTCGAACCTGAAGCAAGCCGCAGACGATTTGCACGTGCGGAAATCACGCAAGTCGAAAGGCACTTGCACGCCAGTGTTCGTCTGAAGAGGGGCGAGAGGGTGGGGAGGGCGAACGCCATGCAAGTAGACTTACCCGAATCTCACCACAGGAACGCAGGCTCCAGGCGGCCAGAAAACGTGTGGTCGCGACTTCGTTCGCATCGCGAGGGTGTGCAGCAGGCCCGCCCAGGGCCCCCCCAAAGGGCGGCCTCGGCCAGAGGGCGGTCGGCGGCAGCTCGGCGGCCTGCCGTGCCCCTGCACCGAGGGGCACCGGGAGATGCGCCGACTGCGGGGGCTCCGGCGAGCTCTCCCCGGAGGACGCCGCGGCGAGGTCCGCGGCCGAGCCCTCCGCCCCCCCCCCCGGGAGCCCAGTTTCTTAGAGGAGGGGAGGGTGCCCATGCCTCTGCCCTCCCCTCGCTTTCCCCTGTCTCGGCCTCCTGGGGGGCCCTCGTCGCCACCGCTGGATTCGCCTCGAAACTCTGGTCCGAGCCCACCCCTGGGAGAGGTCAAGGGAGTAGCGGTATCGTTGCCTTTCGGTTTCCCCAACGCGCCTCGCCTCGGGGGCCCAAATTCGATCCGACCGATCCGATGCGACAGCGCTTCTGGCCGGCCCGATCCGAGTCGGTCCCAGGCGAGGGATCCGATCGATGCGATCGATGCGAGGCGACCTCGGTGCGATCCAATCCGATCGGCCGAGGCCGTGTGAGCGGTGACCTCGCTAGGGACCAGGACATTGGCTCGTCCGAGGAAGCTGCAGCCGCAGCCGTAGACCGAGGCAATCGCAATCAGGGGTCGGCCTAGACGGTGCTCTGGCGATTGCGTGGACCGTTCTCGTTTCGAATTCGTTTTGCAGCCAAGGCGAATTGGAGACGCAACGAGGGAAAGCGAAAACAGTACGAGATCGGAAAGCACGGTTTAGGTCGACCCTTGTGCTCCATTATCCCCTTCCTCCAGGTGGACTTGCTTACATTTATGGTCAGCAGCGTCCTTTTGGCGATTTCGTGGGCCGTTTCGTTTCGAATTCGTTTTGTAGCCAAGGCGAATTGGAGACAAACCGAGGGAAAGAGAGACAATAAACAACACGGTTTAGGCCGACCCCTGTGCTCCAGTATGCCTTTCCCTCTGGGTGGACCTGCTTACATGCTCTGGGCCCAGCGGCCTGGGTTTATGGGGGGGCGTGGATTGATCCGAGCATCGACAGCGCGCTTCTGGCCGACCCGATGCGATTCGATCCCAGGCATTTCCTCCTCCTCCTCCTCCTCCTCCTCCTCCTCCTCCTCCTCCTCCTCCTCCTCCTCCGCCTCCTCCTCCTCCCTCCTCCTCCTCCTCCTCCTCCTCCTCCTCCTCCTCCTCCTCCTCCTCCTCCTCCTCCTCTCCTCCTCCTCCCCTCCTCCTCCTCCTCCTCCTACTCCTCCTCCTCCTCCTCCTCCTCTGCGCTCTGCGCTGCCAAGCGATCCATCCCGTGAACACAAGATGCCCGCACTTCAAAGAAAAACTATCGATGGAGAGGCACGGGCACGACCGCCTCCGCCTTCGGCGAGGACGGGTTCTTGCCCTGCTTCAAGAGGCGCAGTGACCTCTTCTTCCATTCTCCGACGGCGCGAGAAGCACACCTCTCAGCAAGATCTTTGACCTGCTGCTGGGCGTACACCCCGCACGCCGAGCACCACAAGACTGGCCCGTTGGCCCAGAGGCGGTGGGTGGGGTGAGCTTTCAGGAAGACCACGGGGACCCCAGGGCACGGCAGCTGCACCAGCCGAGAGCGCGAACTCCGCCCGATCCCACAGACACTGCACCCCCACCCACCTGGAACCTGTGATATTTTGTGACCCTTATCATCTGGAACTATCTCAAGCAGGGGGGCCTCTGAATTAACAAGGGTCCGCTGCCTACGTTCCTTGATGGCCTCAACGTCGGGGTACCCTAACCTGTGCACATTCTTCAACACCTCAGTCATGTACCTGGCCAACAGGGTCACTTGATCATGATGGAACTTTATCCTGTCTCTGACGTGGAAGTTCATCGGGTGCGCCTTGGCACCCGTCTTGGCCCACTCGTCGGCGAGCCTGTTCCCATGGAAAAAATGAGGCGGTACTCCATGGTTGAATGCCGCACGCCGCGACTGGTGCGCGGCTATCTTCACAACCTGGACGTTCTCTCTCCCCACATCCTCGACTCTCCTCCAAATCTGCCTCCAGAGTTCAGCATACGCCTTGTTTGGGTGAGTAGTGCCTGCCTCCCCAGCCTCCCACCCGTCGACGACCATCTGACAATCCGTGCATATCGTGATCGTTGGGCCCATGAGCGTCAGGGCCATAAAAAAGGCGTAGAGCTCTGAACTTGGAACATCCTGAACTGGAAGCGGCGACGGGCCATACGCTATGGCCTCCACCTCCAGCGTTAAGGAAACTGATACTACTGCCCATCCTGCTCGGACCAACCATCTGCTGTCATTGTCATATCCCGAACCATCGACACAGACATATGGCCCCAGGGTTCCATCACGGTGAGGAGGATGGGCCCAGTTAAACTCAGCTCCGTGCAAAATCTTCGGGATGGACTCGCGGTCGCTGGGCACCAACGCTCGCGTCCATCTAAGATCTACCTGGGCGTTGATCCCCTGCTTCAGCAACTTACCCCCTGGGTCAAGATCACGCCGTAAAAGCCAGGAGCCATCGCAGCCCCATATCCTGTGATGCACGGACCCTTCACGGGCCTTGCACCACCTGCAGAGCGGGTCCAAACTATAGCGATGCTTGAACAGGTCTTTCTGCGTCCAGAGGCCTCCAGAAACCTGAGCGATAAGAAGACTGATCCCAAGATGGTCCCCTCTCTTCCTCAGCTCGGCAATCACACCTCTGATCGGGTCCAGGAAGGGCTCCCAAGACAGGTTGTAAAACTCGCTGACCTTCTTTAGACTGAGCTGCTCCGTGGTGTCGTCTAAGAGGGCCTTGATCGTACGAGGACCCAACTCACGCAAGTCCAGGCTAAGCCCCGTCGAAGTAACCCATCTGCACCAGGAGGTCCCAGTCCAACCCAACCTAATCAGAGTCTGTACCACAGCCCCAGCGGGGCCGATGACTCCTCTCCAACCTCTCGCTACTTCTTTCTTGGCCTTGTCAAAGGCCGTCTGCATCTGTGCCTCTGAAGACCACTGCATAAAAATAGCCTTGCACCACATCATGAGCGGCAAGGCGTTCGCCAGGAAAGACGGGTCAACCTGCGGCACCTCTGCAAGTAAAAACTGCACAGCCCTGCACCTTCCTTTGGCTGGGCCGAAAGGGCAGCGGCCGTCGTGGCCCGCTGCGTCTGGAGTGAGTTGTTGGACATCCCCACCACCCCCACCCCGTACATCGCAGCCGGCGTTCCCCCACCTCTGAAGACCTGCTGAATCGGTTTCTTCGAGAATCGGAACGCTCGATATCGTCGCACTCGGCCACGAACAGTGGTGATTCGTTTGTTCGTCACCTGCCTGCCCTTGTTGAAGGCCAACTTAAAGTCTACGCCCAAGTTCTTGGCCGCGGGCACATACTTGAAACTGAACTCTCTCAAACTATGCTGCAGAGATCTGCCCACTTTGATGTCCGATGCCACCAACATGCATTTCTTCCTGGAAACCTTCAGCTCCAAAGCCTCCAAGCCCCGACAGAACTGCAACGTCCCCGACACCAGTGCTTTCTTCACGTATGGCTCGGACCCCAAAGCTTGAATGGTGGAATCGTCAACCATAAGCGCCAGCCCAAGACGGGGCCATCTAGCCATAAAATCGTCGCACACATCCTTGAGGACTATCTTCAACAGCGTCGTCGCGAAAGAGCACCCCGCGACTATGCTGCTGTTGACTGTGAAAGGGAGGGACAGGGCCTCGCCAACCTTAATGCTGCGAGGCCCACCGTACACTAAGAGGAGCACTCGAATGCGCCTGATGCTAAAGCCATGCCGATGACACGAACGAAGCAGGAGCTGGTGCGTCACTCTCTCGTAAGCCTTCTCAAGGTCAATCAACGTGCAGGCACTGAAAAACTTGCTGGCGATAGCCGCCTCGTTGTTAATCGCTTGCCTCCACACCGCCATCTCACAGCTCCGTCCTTTCCCCCCGTACATGTAATCCTTGTGGTTCACCTCCTCCCATCTCTCCGCCTCCCGATGACGCAACCTCCCAAGAACACGAACTGGCGTGGGCAAAATACCTATCGGTCGCCTACCACCTTCTGGTTTCTGGAGGAAGGGGAGGATGAGCAGCATGATCTGCTCAGGAAGACACACGAACTTCTCCCACATGTGCAGCAGGAGTCCAAATACACGAAGCCCGTCATCACACAAGGACTTCAAAAGTGATGGCGGCCACCTGCAGGCCCCCACCGCCGTACGCTTCTTAAACTTCCCAAGAACTCGACGTAATTCCTGAGGCTCAGGTGGCTCTGGAGGGTCATCCATGGGTAAAGACTGTATAAGTAGGGCCTCGGGCTCCTTCAAGTCTCCGTACCTCCAAATACCCTTCCATTCACTTTCGAGTGCCTCTATCTGGTCCATCGCGCCTCCTGGGGTTCCATCGGGGCCTGGCTCATCTGGGATCCACTCGTTCGGGACCTTCACCCACCTATGTGCCATACTCCCCCCGTTTGCCACTTCCTCTGAAGCCCAAGATCTCCACTTCTTTTGACGATGCCTAACCCAAGAAGCCTCCTCGGACTGGATCAGCTTGCTCAACTCAAACAAGGCGTCCCTGATCGAGGCCGCCCCATAGCCCCTGAAACTGAAATGACCAGCACGCCACTTCCGCCAGCCAGAAGAGTGCCAGAGCAGCTCCGGAGCCTTCTGAAGTTTTTGGTTGATTTCACTGACCTGCTTATCGTCGTCGTCGTATCCCTTACGCTTGAGGTGCCCCAACTCTTCTAGGCGCGTGTGGAACTTGCGCATCGCCCTAGACACTGGAGACCCAAGGGGATGTGGCCCGCCAACCTTGACAATGGCCGGTTTATACACGAACTTAAACTTGTCGCCTCTGCCGAAGAAGTTCCCCTTGGAGCCCGACAGCTCCAACTGGTACGTCTCTGCGAGCTCTAGCTCAGCTGCCTGGCAAAAGGATGCATAAGCCTGCGAGACCTGAGCTTGCGTGACTGCTTGTTCCCGGACCAGCTGCTCAATCTGAATCTGAGTGCCTTCCCACCAAGCTGGCGGGGCAGGCGCAGGACCGATCGGAAGATCAGGGAACCTCTTGGGCGTCCACAAACATCTGATCTGGCCAAGGTGAGTACAAGTCCTGATCGACATTCTGATGGGGTAATGGGTAGACAGTTCGGACCCTTCCAATCGATCGCAGCGCCAAAC